TATATATAAAAAACAGTTTTCCATGCCAGACATTTATCTGTTACTCAAAGAATATATTTTGTAGGCGTTCTGTATTTCAGAGACTAGCCTATGATTGCAGTGTTTTATAGTCATCTTGGAAGTATTTTGAATGTCATTCTACTTTAAGATATGAGCTGATCCTTGACCGGTGCAGTCCTTATTTCTTTTTTTTTTTTTTTTTCCCCCAGTGGTAACATTCAGTTACTCAGTTTCTTTCATTTACTCGTCAAGTTCCCATCATAGGGTTGAGTAATGGTCTTGTTTTATTCATCAGACTTTTAAAAAAAAAAAACCCGCAGCACTGAGTTATTGATATCATGTGCAAGTGAGTTACATCAGAAAAGTATTTTCATGAATTGCTTTCAGAATTGCATTATGATTCTTTTGAATATATGGTTAACACCTTTCATTTTGTTTCTATTGAATATTTTTGGTGCCCTGGACAAACCAATGTTTTATAGATAAAGCTAAGTTTTGGATGAGTGTTTCTGGACCTGTCAGTCTACCCAGTAAAGCCTACCATCAAAACTGCACACCTGTGTGCTGTACAGTGCGTACAATGGTAGACCTGCTGTTGTCTTTTACCAGCAGGTCAGAAGTTGGCTTTTCAGACCTCTGCTTAGATTCCTAGCAAGGGGCATACTTAATTCAAATTTGATATCTTCTCTCCTCCACATCATAAGCTTGTCTTGTCTGGGGTGAGGGGGACCAGGTAATGGGGGGGACTATGTAATTTTACTCAGACTATCATATAATAACTGTCTTGGGTCACTGTGAATTTGTGTTGAATTTGAAGTGGGAATATAAAAGATTTTGGCTTTCTGTATCCCATCCTCGAAAGAAATCCTTCAATTTTAAAGTAAAAATTGAGGGTTGTCATCTGCATTATTCATGTTACACATGCTGATGTTACGAAATATTCCTTGGAAGTACTTTTTTTTTGGTCAGGTCTCCTAAGGTAAAAAACACTGGTTTAAGCATGAACAAGGTTGGAGATAAAGGACTATGGCAGTGGGCTTTCTTCTTTAAATTAAAAATATGGAGGAGGATTTTGGTTTTGGGGGGGGGGGGTGGTAATATAATATATTGTCACAGCTGCTCTAGAATAAGATGTTACTGCCTCAATTTGAACTGCAGGAGACTTGGAGATTGTGAACAGTGCAACTAAAAAAAACACTCGAGATGTTGGTGTGACTTTTCCAACTCCAAGATCTAGCCAGCCAAATCTGCGGCCATGGGAACCCTGGCATTGTGTCGATGGTATTTTCGGAGAGTCAGATGGTTTGGTCACAGATCATCAGGTACCAGGAAACAAGGGTAAACAGAAGGGACAGCCAGGCAGTTTTTTTGTGGAGAAAAAGATGAAGAAGGGCAGGCTGCATTTGCCACAAGGTCAGTCCAAAATACATTTCTGTATAGACTGGAAAAATTGTGTATCTCACCAGTAACCAGTAAAATACATGATCAGGATTAGCTAGAACACAAAGTAGTCTCTGTTACTAGTGTAGTCAGTTTTTATTTTGTTTTTAATCAATTAATTTTAAACAAAAACCCCTTACTATGTCAAGTGAGTATGTATGTGGTGTTTTTTTTTTTTGATTCTCCATTATGATGGCATTTTCAATCTAGTTGTTAGATGTGACCTAACCAGTGAAGGTGGTAAATAGGAGGCAATGATTAAGGCAAAGACAGACAAATAGAATAGTCGTCACATAGACACTTAATTTTAATACATGAATACATGAATGGTTCTGTTAAACTTAGAATGTACAGTTACTCAGCAACTTGACTTACTATCTCTTATACTGAGGCGTCACAGAGCAAGTGTGTTTTTTTTTTTTTAAGGAGTACCTGGAGTGAGGAAAAAAATAGTAGTATCAGAAGAACTAGACTTGTACCCTTTGAGTTAGGGTTGCATTTTTGAGCCTATAAAGTGTAGTTGCCTGTTTTGTGGTGGTGGTGTTGGTCCTCCTCTGTCAATCTCTTAAATGTCACTAATCAAATGTTTTAAAAAGTTTTCCTTAGTCATCGTTGCTGTTGTAGGGACAAATCATTCTCTCTCATAGCAGTTTAATTTAGAAAATTTAGAATATCTTTTCAGAGTACTAGATGATGTATTCATATTCCATTATGTATATAAACTGTGAGTAATCTGATTCTTGTATACATATTTAACACTTGGAAAATGTAAAGCATTTGCCCTTCAAAAATATCTATACCGAGTCACAGAGTTTAGGACAGAACAAAGATTCCTTAAATATGTTTTATTGCTGATAAATAACTATTCTTTCTGTAAAGAGAAAAATTTGCAAACTAAGCCATTTTGTGTCTTTCCAAAAGTGTTGTTTGGTAAAGGCTTGTTGCTTTTCTGGCACTTGGCAAAGGGACTCTTTTGAAACTGCCAAGGTTGTGTGATACAGAATCCCACTGGAAACAGCGAAACTACTGAAGCGAGTCTTTATTGCAGCTTTTAACTGAGATCTTCAGCGTGAAGGGACATAGATAGGTATGGAAAATAGGAAAACATATGGTCTGCAAATCTTCATTTTCTTCTGTGATGTTTTATTAGGAATTTCCTGGCTTGTCCAAGCAGAGGATTTGAAATCTGAATCTAAGAAAGAAAACTGTTCCAATTCCTTTTCTGGTCCTGGTCCATCTTGGTTTGAACCACTGACCAGCACAAAACCCTGGAGGGAGCCCCTCCGAGAGAAGAACGGGCAAGAGCAGCAGCCTAGCAACACGGTTCAGCCAGTGGTTCCGGAAAGAGATGCTGAGAACAGGTCCCCACAGCCGTTTGTGAAGCTGACACTACAGGTAAAGGCCCGCTGTACTATAAGGCTGCTGGGTTCTCTGATCTTAGGAATAATGCTGAATCTTGTGGAAGTATTTTTTGATCCTTTTTTATTATTTCACCTTTGATATAATTGGAAGTTAACAAGTTAGAGACCACTCCTGTTTAAAATAAAAAAGAAAACAAAACAAAGTTGTCAGTCCTGCTTTCTTAAAGTAACCTGACTGTGCGCAGTATTATGATTTGATTTTTAGGGCTTAAATCAACTGGCTTCGGGAACTAGAGGGAATGCAGCTGAGGTAGTTCACGTTATATTTGCTTCCCTGTGGGAGTATTCCTGTGTGATGTAAATAGTGTGCGATAAAATGGAATTTGCTTCATACAGTGCAAACCGTGTGTGTGTCTTGCACCCTCGCGCACTCACTCCAGGCCAGCTTAGGTGGCTCACTCCAAGTATTGATGCAAAAATACAAATGTAGTGTACAGAAATACTTTTGACAAAGATCTACAGCAAGTGAAATCTAAATTAGCAATAGCGTAACCCAACAGGAATTGTTCTGTAGAGCGAAGCTGTTGGTGCTGAGTGCCAGATATCCATGCTGTATACGTTTTGGAGTTTTGGAGCTCTAATCTGCTCAATTAATTGAACGCCTGCTAATGGCTTGTAGTGCACTAGGTGCACTTCTGGAGTTTCTTTTGAGTTCAGTCATACCTGCTTGTATGTGCTCAGAGACAGCCCTGTGATAGGAACTGAAGCATGGCAAATGTGGGTATCAGGAGACTGCTTTCAAATCTCTACTTCTGCTGCGAACTGAAGTGCCAGTACTGATGTGGCCGCTGCCTTATAGTGAGGGAGACTTATATGTTACAGCACCTTTTATTCTGCATGCCTACCTTTGACTGAACTTCACTGTATTTTTCTGAGAGGTTTGTGTCCCTTTTGCTAATTATTTTAGCTGCTTTTCTTTTTTTTTTTTCTTTCCAACTAGTTAGTCTTCCACTTGTTGACAAGTACTTTGATGTTAAACAAGATCCCTGAGCATCTACCCAGCCTTAAGGATGCAAGATTTTGTATTTTATACTGAATGCTTGTTTGAAGTTTTTTTTTTTTCCTTATCATGCTTTGATGATGGTGTTAGATATTTTGATTAACCTCTTCCAGCCTTAAAAGGAAGTTCTGGCTATTTTAGACTTTGTGTGTCGTCTGGTCTTAGGAGGCTCTTGCATTGCATCGCCCTGATTTCATCTCCCGCTCTGGAGAGCGTGTAAAGCACCTGAAGCTTGTAATGGAGGAAAGAAGGATGCAGAGTGTATTGCAGTGTGAACGAGAACAGCTATTTAATCCTCCTGAGAAAAGAAAGGGCTACAGGAATGCAAGTTGCATGCTCTCTGAAAGAGGTATTTCACGGTTATGCTGTTTTATATTCTATAGGAATTAACGAATTTCCTCGTTATGCTTAAGGAGGTATATATTTCTAATAAAATTAGAATTATTTACAATTACTGTCTATAAGAATCTATAACTTATAAAGGAGTAAGATTGTTGCAGTAGTATTCTTTGTGAAAAGTAGAGTTGTTCACTGTTCTCTTATCTCACAACTTTGCATTTAGGCTATCTGTTTAGACAAAAGAGAAGAACGATTCCAAAGAGCGAAATGATTCAAAGATCCAAAAGGTAAGGTTAAGAAAATTTTGTTTCAGATAGTTAAGTGACCTGAGTAAACGGGCAAGAAAGATGGGTGAATCATATTTACAAGTAAAGAATTGGGCATTTGGGGGTAACTTAGGTCTTTCAGGGCAAGATGTAGACATTTTATCAGAGGAAGAAAGCACTTGTCAAGAAAATCATAGAAACAAGACCATTTAAAAAAAAAAAAAAGAAAGACTAACTAGACCTGAATATTTTGCTGCAGTATCTGCAATTTGAACACTGCAGCCAACTGTCCAAGTTGTGGACCCCAAAAGGAGAAGAAAGGGCATAGGCCACTAGAGCATGTATATGGTGTTAAACATTAACAAACTAGGTAATTTGTGCCAGAAGTGAGGTACCATTTCTCCAGATGAAAGTAGCTTTATGTAAGAAATAGTTACCAAGAAAGGAATTGAGAGCCTTTTAACCTTGAAGAAAGCTGCCTTAACCCTAACCTTTACCTTATGTTTAATTGAAGTAACTGTACATAAAATGCGCTGCATGCTTAGCAGTGTATTAAACATTTGGCTTATCTGTGCTACATAGAGAGTATGTGAAGGTAAAATTAAAAAAGGGATTTGTTGCAGCTCTATTCTGAAATGGTAGAGGAAGCAAGAGGAAGTGATGTGACAGGGTATTAGTTAAGAAACAGCATAAATATTAAAAAGTAAGTTAGAGACAAGTGAAGTGGTCTCTGATAGCTTATAAAGTTACGTAACAATACAATGGTAATGTAAGTTATTCAGAGTCAAAGCAACAGCAAAGGCCAGGAGCATACCCTGAGGCAAGGAACGTGTAAAGTTTGGATTTCAGCATATACATAAGGGCTTTGAACTGATGTCTGGGAATGTAAGTGCTGTGCAGAGGAAAGGGTCTGTGAAAGGGACAATACCATGGCCAGTAGTTCCTGAAGATCTCTGCGGCCTTGAGGAATGGGCCCAGAGGAACATCATGATGTTTGACAGTAACAAATATAAAGTCTCTCCCCGGGACAGAAGAGCCCCAGGCATCAGCAGTGGCTGAGGACAGGCTGCCCAGGGAGTGGGCCCTTCGGAAAAGGGCCTGATGGACAGCAAAATGAACGTGAGCTGGTGGTACGCTCTTGCAGCAATGAAGGCCAGCTGCATGTTGGGTCACACTGGTGAGAGCATAGCTGGCAGGTGAAGGGAAGAGGTTGTTCCTTCTGCTTGGCTACAGCTGAGTCCTGTGTCCTGTTCCGGGCTGCCAGTAAAAGAGAGAAATCAACAAACCGGCATGAGTCTAGTGGAGGCCACCAAGATGGTCAGAGGGCTGGAGCACGTGGCATGCTAGAAGGAGCTGGGTTTGTTTGGCCTGAGGAGGGGAAGGCTGCAGGCAGGGAACTGGCAGTCCTGTTTCCCTGCCAGAAGGGGGATTTAGGGGGAAGGCAGAGTGAGACTTTTCTTGGAGATGCCTGGTGAAAGGGACAAGTAGCAGCAGTCACACATGACAGTAAGGGAAAATTCTGACCGGAGATGGGGAAATCGGTTTCTTGCAAAGAGGATGGTTTAAGCACTGGACTGGGGCTCATGGAGGTGGTGGACTCCATGATTAGGGCTACAAAGATGATTAGGGGACTGGAGCCTCTCTCCTATGAAGAAAGGCTACAAGAGCTGGGCCTGTTCAGCCTGGAGAAGAGAAGACTGAGAGGGGATCTCATCGATGTCTACAAGTATCGGAAGGGAGGGTGTCAAGAGGATGAGGCCAGACTCTTCTCACTGGTGCCAAGTGACAGAACAAGAGGTAACGGGCACAAAAGGAAGCACAGGAAGTTCCATCTGAACCTGAGGAAAAACTTCTTCACTGTGAGGGTACCTGAGCACTGGAAGAGGTTTCCCGGAGAGGTAGTGGAGTCTCCTTCCCTGGAGATATTCAAAACCCGTCTGGATGCGATCCTGGGCAACGTGCTCTAGGTGACCCTGCTTGAGCAGGGAGGTTGGACTAGATGATCTCCAGAGGTCCCTTCCAACCTAAACCATTCTGTGATTCTGTGCCTCTCCATCCTTGGAAATAGTCAGAAGTTGACTGGATGAGACCTAAGCAACCGGATCTAGTTTTGAAGTTAGTCTGCTTTGAGCAGGAGGTTGGACTAGTGGACCTCCAGAGGTCCCTTCCAAGCAAAGTTATTCTGTGATTCTACGAAATATACATTGGAGTAGGTAATATATAAAATAAACCCTTTAATATGTTTTATATGCTAGGAGAGTCCAAAAAGGATGTTTGATTTCAGTAGTTCTTTTGGCATTTAAGTGTTTTTAGGGCACGAATAGAGAGGTGACCGAAGTGGGATGCACGCCAATTCCCTAAGGAGTGCATATCCACATGTTTTAATTGAAAGGGAAAGATTTTGATTCAGATCATTTGTATTATATGATCGATGTTATCTGAACTCGTGTATTTTCAGGAGCTCTGATTTCACAATACGCAAGTCGGCAGGATTTCTATGGAGATTGATTCAGGCAGTTGCACTGTGGCTTTTTTTTTTTTCTTTTTAATGCTGCTGTCGTACTCCGACTCTCAGTTGGAGCTGAGAAGTAATTTATTCTGTACCATTCTTTTGAAATCCACACCTGTAATGAACACAGAAGCTTTTTCTTTTTCCTCTGTGAGTGTGTAAATGGAGTTTCTCATGGCAAATTAGGTACAGCTAATTAAAATGATTTTGAATTAAGTTAGCTGCAATTCTACAGTCCGCTTCTAGTTCTAAACATCTCTGTGGTGGGGTGAATCGGTGAGTTGGTATATCTTGATCTTTAGCTGAGGGGAGCCCCAGAGTGGTGGAAGCATTTAGTGAATGGTGGGATGACCCTGAAATCTTTGAGGTATCCCTCCCCCCCTCCAGTATCACTTTTATAGACCTAGCACCCCTTCTGCTGCCTTCCAACAAAGCGTAAGAGAAGTAAAATAACATCCCAAATGTGATTTATTTCCTCTTTTCTGTAGGCATAATGCAGACAGTGACATTTTTAGAAAAGATGGCCTCCTAAAAGCAGCTGCAGACAGAGTAGGAAAACAGGGATACACAGGAAGGTAGGTCACTGAAAAGAGTGCAGCTGCCATTTTTTTAGGGTATAATGGCAATTGTATGTGGAGATGCAGTTTTAAGTGGCCTTCTTTTGAGTGTCCTGGTGTAAATGCTTGCTCTCAAAGAACAAAAGCTCATGAATTTCACTGGTAAATGCATTTGTGCATGGGACTGTAGAAGCTACACTTATTTATGGCTGATGCTGGGGAATTAGGTAGGAGATTAAGCTGGCTGAGATTTGGACTTGACTCCTTGCAGATAGGATAGAATCCCCTGCCTGGTTAGTTATGTGCATCTTTTTCCTTCCTATTGCTTTCTTTTCCAGCTAACTTCTAGTCCTTCTGTCCTTTGAAACATGTGAGTGACACCTAACTCGTGTACTGACTAAACACTAAATCAGTGCAAATTGACACAGATTTGCCTCCCTCACTTATCTTTCCAGTTTGAAGTACTACTTACTTTCCTGCTGGAATTAGTATCAAGACAACTGTCAAAGATACCCCTCCTCACTCATAGCTGGTGGGCTGTACTGATCTGCATTTTTCAAAATGGAATGTGTTGAAGCACTTTCAGATAATACCAGTTGATGGCATAGATGTGTTTAAACTATTTAAAGTGCCAACAGTAACTATGGAATTGATGTTACCATTATTGACGTAAGAACAAAACGGTCTCTTAAAAGAGAATACCTTTGATGTAGTATTGTATCTGTTAATAGTTTTTGCTCTATTTCCTGAATATCAAATCTGTTTGTTAAGAAAGAAGAAGTAGTATGATCTGTCTTGTTTTAAGTATTCTGGGACTGCAATTTTTGAACATGGTTCATTTCCACTTCCCATAAACTGTAGACTTTTTGAAGCTGCATAGTTCTTGGCAATGAAGGTAATGAAATTAGTGAAGCTTTATGATATTACAGGAAGCACTAGAAGGTATGGGGAAGGCAATGCAAGCGCTACTCTGCCATCCTTGTTAGCCGCTTCCCACTTCAGACAGTAGCGTGTAAACCAGACAAGAGTAGTGTGCTAACTCTCTCCTGAACATCATTCACTTTTATTGAGTTCAAAGCATCTTTTGCTGTTTGGCTCTGGCGTGGGAGTAGTTCAGCAGTGGAGAAGACAAAATATCGGCCTAGGTATGGCAGCGTTTGGGGATAAAAGATTCCTGGATGACTTGAATCAGATTATACTTATGCCAAAGGTACTGCTATTTATGGATAAACATGTTGTTCAGAATCAGCATGCCCTCAAAACAATGAAATTATTCTGTACTGATTGTATTGAATCTTTACCTTTTGCAGACAGGTAAACATAGCAGCTGTGTGGTCATTTTAATGTCCTAAATGTTGCTTTTAGAAGGGTGCTGCAGCAAGAAAAAGGCATTTTGGGATGTGGGAATTTCCGCTGTCACAACTGTTGCGTATTCCACATTTTTTCTGTGTGACACTTGTAGATTCTTCTCTGATGTGGTTGGCTAGTATCCTTTAACAGTATGTGATGATAAAACAGAGGATGTTTTTTATATTAATAAATTCCTTTTTTCCAAGTCACTATTTTTGACTTTTTATATTTACACTAGGATCTATGAGCAGCTGCCAGAGGTGCAGAAGAAGCGAGAAGAAGAGAAGAGAAAATCTGAATACAACTCATACCGGCTAAAAGCACAGCTTTACAAAATGGCAAGTGTTCGAGCAAACTGCTACCTAGGAATAAGTTGGATTTTTTTTTTTTTTCCCTCCTTGTGATCACAAACTTATGAAATTAACATTTAGTTAATATTATGCATTTATTTTACAAAGTCTAGTTGATTAGACATTGAGGTGAAATGAAAACTGTCTGAATGGCAGAGCTCAGAGGATTGTGATCAGTGGCACAAAGTCTGGTTGGAGGCCTGTAGCCAGTGATGTCCGCCAGGTTCAATACTGGGTTCAATGTTGTTCCAATTTATTCATCAATGACCTGGATGAAGGCACACAGAGTGCACCCTCAGCAAGTGTGCTGATGATGCTGAACTGGGAGGAGTGTGTGTGCTGCCGTCCAGAGGGACTTGGACAGGCCGGAGAGGTGGGCGGAGAGGAACCTCGTGAAGTTCCACAAAGGCAAGTGCAGGGTCCTGCACCTAGGGAGGAATAACCCCATGCACTGGGACAGGTTGGGGGTTGACCTGCTGAAAAGCAGCTCTGCCGAGAAGGACCTGGGAGTGCTGGTGGACAACAAGTTAAGCGTGAGCCAGCAAATGTGCCCTTTGTGGCCAAGAAGGCCAATGGGATCCTGGGGTGCACTAGGCAGAGTGTTGCCAGCAGGTGGAGGGAGGTGATCCTGCCCCTCTCCTCAGCCCTGGTGAGGCCTCCCCTGGAGTGCCGGGTCCAGTTCTGGGCTCCCCAGCACGAGAGAGACGTGGAGCTGCCGGAGCGCGTCCAGTGAAGGGCCGCAAAGATGATGAAGGGAGTGGAGCATCTCTCATGTGAGGAAAAGCTGAGAGAGCTGAGCCAGCTAAGAACTGCTGCCACTGCTCTTCCTCCCTAGCTATCCAACTTGTATATCATGTGCTTTGTGTCTGTTAAGTTCAGATTTTCTTGACGACAAGAAGGTTGAAGAGCCCTGTGCTAGAGACTCACTCACCTGGGTCAATCATGATGAGTTACAGGGAAGTTTCTTCTGTTCTCCCCTGTGCCCATGCATATATCTTATTATCTAGTATTTCTGTCTAACAAGGAGTTTGAATTTATATAGAGTGGGTGATGTGATATATGTACTGATACAATAGAGGAGGTTCATTAATCCATTCTGTCCATCTCCAAAACTGACCTCTGTGTCCCTTTTTAAGCTGCTTCAGGCCTCTATATGTTTAAGCTTCCTTTTAAGACTTAGTAAAAAAAGAAAAGAAAAAATGATTTGTAATACAAACACTGAGGTTCTAACCTGGCTTTTCATTCCTTTACTAACCCACGTACCATAAAATGTAGCCTTCTAGAGGACTCTGGACACGGGTAATAAACTGTATTATAGACATGAGTGCTTTAAGGGCATGCATTAAAAATGCACACTGATTTTCCACCCCCCCCCGGCGCCTAGATTTTAAAGTTGCACTTCAGTTTTAGTGTTGCAGCTCTTTCCTGGCTGAGAGATCCCACTAGAGCTGGAATAATAGGTTTAGTTATTTGTTGGGGACAGCAGTAATCAGATCTTAAAACTTGTGCTTGTAGCACAATGTATTTTCCAGAATCTCTTTCACTAGCCTGAGAATCTCAGATGCCAGTGCAGAGAGCTGATGAATGCTAGCAGGCATAGGCTGGAAGTGACATGGTCAGCTGGAGGAAGAGAAGGAATCTCATAGGAAGTTTTTTTATACAATGTGGTTTTGATTCAAAGAGGGATGATGGATTCACTGAAGTGAATATTGTAATCTTTTGTTGTCTTCCTTGATGAGACAGAATAACTGTAGTGAGTAGCTATAGATATAGTGAATGTTTTGCTTAGAATTTTGTTGATGTGTTTTTGAGAGCATCAGTTTCTAACTGGATCTGACTGTACAAGCAAAAAACCCACAGATTTTGTGGAATAGCTCCGGAGAAGACAGAGTATTACGAGAAAAAAGTTGTTGTTTTGTTGCCTTGGCACAAAAGCTAGATTAATAACATATATAATTTAGGGTTGTATCATTTTAAGTGATCAAAAGCACTGTACCCGAACTAGAACCTGAGAGGGAGTTTCTTGAGCCATACGTTAATATTTTAGCTGACTTTCTGCTGTGCAGATGCTAATACCTAGCCAAGGAGTGCTAACAAAACAGCTGGGAAGGTGGTGATGTCTTAAATGGCCACAGCAGTTTGCTTAGTGAATGAGGGTGTGAGCACTTATTCTCCTCTCCCAGCATCTGTGGCTGAACTCCTGTTACGATAATGAGGGGTACTTGTATCCTAAGTCTGTTACATCTTGGTTATGGTGTAACATGGCTTTGGGACACTGGTTGCTTCTATTCCTGTCACTAATACCGAAGGAACAGACATGTAAGAAGGAAGGAAGGTTAAATTTTACAAAAATTGTAGTTTATCTCTGTTGATACAGCAATAAACTTTTCCACGTGCTCCTTACGAAGCATTCTCTAATCATCCCGCTTTCCCTGTCTGAAGGCCTCTCTGTAGACCGTGCTGCTTTCCGCTAGGTGTATCTCACTAACCGCAGTATGGCTGGAGGGGGTCAGTTAGCAGTACGGTGTGCATGCCGCTTCTAAACAGCATTTGAGGCCTCCCAGCCTAAGGGTGCTTAATGTCTGGGGAGGGAAGCAGTGAATTGAATGTGTGCGCACACACTGTATGTGCGTGAACGTGGACACAGAGTGTGCTGAAGTATAACTTGCAAGTGAAACTATCACACCAGTATTTAGAGGTGAGTGGGGTATCGCTGCATATTGATAGGAGTCTGCGAAATTCTTCTGAAGAAAAATAAACACCAGCTTCTTAAAAACATATCTTGAGCAGAAAGCAAAGCTGCTTATTTCCAGTGTGAGCAATAGCAGCTCTTGTGTGGGGCATACTGCTCTCTGGAGGCAGTGGATCACTTTCCATTAACTACAAGGAACCAAGGATGATGGATGTTCTTAAATTAGTGTACAGATTGAGGTGGGATGAATCTCAGTTTATTTGGCTCAAAATAGGACCTAAAGTTAATGAGTATATTTGACCAAAACTCAGTTTCCTTTTGTAAAGTACAAATTTGGAATGTTTGCAGAGAAACCTTGAGAAGGAACCTGTATCAATGCTGGTTTTGAGGTGTTTGTGTGCTACAGTGGGGCAGTGTGGGGCATTGCAGGTAGCTGGTAGAGTTTCACAGGCCGTCTTAGTTTTCCAAATTGTTAAATACTTAATTCCACCGTCTCAATAAAGTTATTTTTATCACAGGATGCACTTGGATCTGGGCTGGTGTTCTATCCCAATATTCCTTTGCTCTTATATTTTTATTTTCAAACAGAGCGTAGTGTTATACTAGCCAGATAAGGGAATGCTGCATGTCCTTGAATTTTGAAAACTGTACGGTCGAGGCAGATTTCTGATCTGGTGGCAGCATAAGTTAGAAGGAACTCTTTCACCCTCACTGAAGTTGGAATGAGTGTTGACTTTAACAGATATGCGCATTGCTTCTATTACTGAGGCTTTTTCATTAGATGTGATTAGTTTGTTGTCTTTGTAAATAGGTAGCATGGGAGGAACCTCCATAAGGGGGGGCATTTATGTATTTCCCCCCTGCCCTGTAAAGAAAAAAACAAAGTGCTAGCATTCAGGAACAGTAAACACTTTTTTTTAAATTATTGCTATTATTATTATTGCTGGGACATCTTGAGAGAATGTGTTCAAGACGGGGGCCACTAGGTGTCACTACCCCAAAGGGAAAAGCGCCTGTTTCTGGAGACAGAGAACTGAACTGCATGTTGCTGCTTCAGAATAGCTTTTTTTAAATCTGTGGGTCCACCCCCCCATATTTTTTCCTCCTATCAGCAACATGTTGGCCTTTTGTTTTATAGTTACTTGCTATGAGTGGAGGAGGGAAGGTAGCATCTAGTTACTACCTGAGGTCACTCATTAGATTGCGCAACGGCCTGTAAGCCCCAGGGCTGTTCAGAGACTCTGTGGGATGAGGCATTTTGAAATCCTACTAAGGCTTCATGAGTGTAGGAGTCACAGAGACAGCTTCCAGGCTGAGATCAAGGTCAGCTGCTTTTTTAAATATACATATACAGCTAAATAGAAATATATACAAATTTGTATGAATATATGTGTATATATACTATATCTACAGTAGATATATGTATGCTGCATATTCTGTATGTGTATATGTGTGCATATATATGTCTATATCTAGCTATACGTACGAGCTGCACGTTGTGTTCATTTGCTTCCCCTGTGTGATGCAAGAGGCCACGCTGGGTAATGAGCATATCATTCTCTCTGCTGTTAATAATAGATGAAATGCCTAACGCTGTCACTTCATAGTACACTTTTTAAAAGTCAAATAATATGTATTCGGTGCGTCAAGACTTCTGTGGTCTGCTGGTTGAGCAAGCAGGATGATGTGATATTTCATTATCTGAAATGCCTGTCTTGACAAGAACGGGTCACGCTAGCAGGTGCCTAGGGAGAAATGTAGTAATAGAGCTGTTGTGTGGCAATACTTTCTTAAAATGCTCCAACAGTCTTGTGTGATTTAGTCCAAGGGGCTGAGACACCTTTAATATAATATGTGTATATATATATTTTTTCTTCCTCCTTCTGTGGATTTATATACTTGCTTTGTGAAGTATAAACTTCTGGTGTTCACGACATCACTGGGCATATTACACATTTTGCACAGTTTAACTGCAGAAGACTTTTACTTTTCATACCAAATACTCTGTTTTGTTTTGTGTGTGGTTTTTTTTTTGGAAGCAATTACTAGTTAGTTTTATGTGATCCCTCCCCTTTTTTTTTTTTTTTTTTTTTTTAAAGGAACGGGAAAAAAATTTCTTTTTTTCCCTCTCTTTATGTGATCCCCCCCCTTTTTTTTTTTTTTTTTTTTGAAAGAGTCAGTGAATAACATTCCTTTTTCACCTGCTTCAGGCTATGTGTGATTGTATAGTGCTTCATCATTTCCCCTTTAGTCGTACCTCCCCCTATCTCCACCATGGCGAAGAGTCCTAATCTATTCAGCTGTTTATTGTATGAAACACTTTGCATATTATCTATCACCCTTGTTACCCTTCTTGGTATCTCTTCTAGTTTTCCTGTGCCTTCTTAAATGTATTGCAAAATGGGGAATGAGATGCTCAGGGAAAGCTCAGAGATTTGTGTTCAGGAGGTGATGAAGAGAGACCTACATCATAGTTGCTTGGGGAAACAGTCTGTCAGCTAATGTCAAATTGTGCTCTGATTCTTTGGGCTAGTTTCTGACCATTTCCACAGTGACCAGCACAGGCATATCCTGGTGTTTTTCATACTGATGAGTGGGGAAACAACTGGGCTGCATTAGCTGTCCTAGGCTGTGTAAACAGTAATTTCTTTCAGTTGTGTTACCTGTTGATATCTTGTTCAGAAAGCTTATCAATGATATTTTAATCTTAATGTCTTTATTCTTAAAGGATTAATATTGATATGTCATTTTTGTTTTTATATTACAGAAAATCACGAACCGTGTCTTAGGGAGGAAGGTACCTTGGAACTGATAAGAATCTCGTGTTCGAACAAAGGTGTATTGTGCTTAGTAAACTTATAGCGTCTTCCTCTGTAAAGGCGGTCGTGAAGCAGATAACGCAGTAAACACTTGTGCAGCATATGCTTTGTGATGTTCAATAGTGTCATTTTTGTACTAATATAATCCGGCCTTATTTATAAGGTATTTTAAGGATCAGTGATTTAATGTGAATAATAGGCTTTTAAATAAATGGCTGTTGTTTGTAGTGCTATGTACCTCCAAGCGAATGCAGTTTGGAAGTATTTGGTTCATAATATATTTATAATAACCTGAATGGAATAACTGTTTTAAATATTTATTTTAAATTGTTTTTAACAATGATTTTTAAAAAAATTTTTAATTCCTATTTCAATGTAGAAAACCTATTTGTACTGTTTTGTATTGCAAAAAAACTCAAATAAATAACATCAAATCAGTTTGTAGCAACTGTTAAAGGAAGTGTATTCACTGTTCATATGGACAACATCTGAAGAAACTGGGCTGTAATCACCTCTTAAGTTCTCTGTTGTGTAGAATAAGAACTTAAAAGGTAACTAGTAGGAGCTATAAAGTTGGCCAGTATTAGTGCTTGAAAGAGTAGATGAGTCATGAATTCCATTTACTGTTTGCATGGTTTGCTATCTCTCTGTGCTAACCAGGAGAGTCTGATCAGGAAATACTCTTTTTGTTGTGTTGGGGAATTTTGATTTCCCTTCTTAAAGCAGACCCAAAGGGGCTAAGAGCTCTTATTTTTGTTGGTGCTCACAAAGATATCTCAAATACCACGTTCATGAATCAAAATAGAAGTAAACCAAATGTACCATTAAAATTTTCCTAGCCGCTCTAACCGTGACAGTGATGAACTCATAATGGAAACTAAGTCCACCGAGTTTTGTAAGCAGTGCCTGGAGGAGTCCCCTTAACTTCATTAGATACTTGCATATTTCACAGAATCACAGAATCGTTTAGGTTGGATGGGACCTCTGGAGATCATCTAGTCCAACCTCCCTGTTCAGGCAGGGTCACCTAGAGCATATTGCCCAGGATCACATCCAGACGGGTTTTGAATATCTCCAGGGAAGGAGACTCCACTACCTCTCTGGGCAACCTGGTCCAATGCTCTGTCCCCCTCACAGTGAAGAAGTTTTTTCTCAGGTTCAGCATATTTGCAGGGTATTTGATTGTACACTCAACTAGCATCAGAGTAGCAAAAAGGTGAAATACAGAGATGAAGATTGTGATTCTCGGTGATACGTGCCTGAGGTCGGTTTCATTTACTTGTCATGGTGAAGTTCATATGATGTATAAACAGGAAAAGACACTTGAGGAAAGCTAAGTGTGTGCAAACAGTGTTTTCTTATTTTCATACTACCAAGTTTCCTGTAGTTAGGATGCCCATAACATTTTAATTCAAAAAATGACTCTAATGGTACATCAGCTTCAGCAAGGCAGACGTTTTGGCCACATGTGTGCACTAAGAATTTCCTGGAACGTTTTATTCAAGCCCATTTGCTGAGGCATCCAGTGGTGGCTGCGTCTCAGCTTTGCTGACTATCCTAAGCATTTCCGTTGGGATGTAATGAATCAAATCCCTAATTCTTGGGAAATAATGCGATTCCCTTGAAAGTCAGTAGAACTACACTAAATTACCTGAGAGAATACTTTTCCAACTGTCCTGCGCTAGTGGTAGCTCATGCTGTTAAAGCAGCTATAATATCCTACCCCAGAGTCAGAAAAAAATAAGAAAATGTGACAATGTATCTGGGTGTACTCTGTTTATCAGAGTAGCATGCAAAGTACTGTTTAAAAAAAAAAAAACATACAAAACCACAGTCTAATATGTTGGAAGACCATATTTGGTCTGGCCTCAGAAATTTTAAGTTAAAAGAGTGGGTTAAAAAATATTACAATAGCAAGTGACTGTGACAGATGAGCTTTCAGATTTGCTTAGATCTTTAGAGCTTTTCACTTTTCAAGATCTGTTTTTACTTGTTTGCTCCTTCAACTAACTATTTTCCTTGGGATCAATTTGGATGGAAGTTGCTGCTATGCCTTTAAAATGTTCTTCTGGGGCTAGAAAGTCCGTTTTTTAAGTTGCTGAAGCAGAAGATGCTAAAGCCTGCTCGTACTGAGGTTGGTCATGCCCGTTCCTCTCATATACATACGAATGGACTTGTTTCCCTGTGATAAGAAATTCACCTGTGCTGGAGTCGGTATGACAAGATCTTGTCTTACTGGGTGCTCATTTAAAGCCGGTTAGCTTCTTAAATATACTTTTAAGC